TGGACTGATTTTCAAGTTTTCATTTACATTTCCGGGTTGAGAGATGTCCCTCTCACGTAAAAACTTCTTAATTTGGATCCTCAGTTCTTACTTTGGGTGCTGGAACGATGTAATAAACATACCCGAGGCTTCAGATATAGGATTTGAGTGTAGAAATAAAAAATAAGTGTGCCAGCTGATCCAGCATCATTGCATATAATTGCCCCATCTCTGGTTGCTTGTCATGAGCTGTTGGCAACTGTTAAAATTAGCTTTACAGTCTGCCTGAGATTAGCAGCAAGTGTGGAAGATGAAGCCTCACTCTTAATGAAGCTAATTTGTATTTGAAAATATAACTACATGTGTTGCCCCCATTATTTAAATATGTGCATGCTAGTTGATAGTAAAAATGAACCTTTAAGCTGAGATTTTTATAAACCCTAGCTGAAAAATAACCTTTTAAGGAAGTGATCCTTTTTGAAGTGGTTTTCCAGTGTTTTTTATGGGCATCTCCGGAAGCATTTCAGAAACCAATTAGAAATACTTTTAAAATAAACATTTAAAAATTTCGACATTTAAAATGACGCAGGGCATCGTGCCCCATCTCTGATCAGCCTTTTCTGGAACAACGTCTATGGTGAGGTGCTCTCTGTTTCCTATCACAGCAGTTTCCCCTGAAGGCCCTGTACTCTGCCCAAACTTCTAGAACAGCCAGCCCCACTGCACTGTGTGTGTCTGTCCATTGTGTTTCTCCTCCTTTCACCTGCGATCTGAGGGTAGGGTGTGGTCTTCCCATTTTTTATTTCCTAATTGAGGGCCTGACTCAAAACAGATCTTACTAAATGTGTGTTGAATGAATGAATGCATGAATTTGGAATGTGGGTGCCCTTCCTCATGGAAGGTTCCATGAAGGAACAGTCATGGAGCTGATGGTTCCTGCATGAAGCTGGTCCACCATACATCAATGACACACCCCATTCTAGGTTTGATTCAGAAAGAATTGATTTTCCAGAATGTCACCATTTGAAGGATCTTTGCTTTCTGGTCATCTGCAACGTCTAACATCCTCTCCTTGCAGTTGGGTCTCAGAACCTCCCAGTGATTACCTTATTTTCCTGCTTAGTCAGCATCCAGTTCCTCATTCCTTTTACCCAATTTCTGCTAGAGACCTGTAAGTGTATGTTGGCTCTTTTCCCGCTTTCTCACCATAGGAATGGGGACCTGATTTCCATTAGGCGTCAGTGTGGAGGGGCCATAGGGATTTGGAGGGGTAGGGCTGTAGGGCTCGGATGGAGCACAGAAAAGTCCTGGGAAAATATCATCGCATACGGGTGAGTTTTGGCAGGTGTCCTTTCCAAGATAGACAACGAAAGGAGAAATAGCCACGAATAGCACCGCGGCTCATGCTTCATCCAGTGAGCCGATGCCCCAGGATGAGCAGGAGGTGAGGGGGCTAGCCCATTGGTCTCTCGGAGGGTCTCACCTTCCACGTGTCTCTCGTGGGGTCAGCATCTGGCCACCCTGAGTGTGTAAGGGGAAGCGTTGTTCGGTAGCAGGACCCTGCACTTGCCGTTCAGCCCAGCAACCCCACTCCTAGTTATTACCTGGAGAAATGAAGACTTGTGTCCTCGTAAAACCTCTGTGTGAGTGTTTATAGCCACTTCATTCAAACCAACCCAAACTGGAAGCAACTCAGATGTCCTTCCGAGGGTGAATGGCTAAAACAGGGCCCCTAAATGCAGGCCAACCGCCACTGGTGCCCGACGGAGGAGACAGCAGGCCATGGTCATTTTGAGCAAACTCGGTGTGTAAGTTACCTGTTGTGTGACAAACCACCCCAAAACTTAGAGGCTCAAAACAGCGGCAGTGGTGTATCTTGCTCCCGGAATCTGCGGTTTGGGCAGCCTCGGTGGGAGCAGCCTGTCTCTGCCCCGCATGGTGTCAGTGGCTTGCCTGAGACAGAGGCTCAACTTCCACGATGGCTCACTGGCAGGAGAGCTGGCAAGTTGGTGCCGGCTGTCAGTTCCTCTCCACATGGGCCCCTCTTTTGGGCTGCTTCATGGCATGGTGGCTGGGTTCCAAGGGCAGGCGTCTCAAGAGTCAGGCAGTGGATGCTCCCCGTTTCTTAGGGCCCGGGTCCAAAAACTGGCACTGCATTGTCCTGCATATTCTATTGGTCCAGTTGTCACAGAACTCAGGTTCAGAGGAGGTGGCATAGGCCCCACCTCTCGATGGCAGGAGTGTCAAAGGATTTTGGGGCCACATTTAAAAACTGTCACACTTACCATTTACTTTCTGCCCTACAAAAGACCTGGGCCCCTGAAGGGGATGTGCTTCCACTGAGATGCTCCCTGAATGTCAGCGAGAGGGGTGTGCAGCCACGCCTGGCTCATCTGCCTGCATCCAGCAGAGGGTCTCCCTCCACTCTTCCCCTGCCTCCCGCGCTCCCCGCTCTCACAGGCCGTGCCCACCCCTTGCCCCAGCCTCCTGCTGGGTTCTGATGGGAGCCTGGTCTGGGAACCTCGCATAGTGAACAGCGAAGTTGACAAAACTCTGCAATAATGTAAGGCACTATTATATCTTATTGTTCCTCCTTTTTGTAAGCTAGATTTTTCTGACTTGTTTGAGCATAGTAGGGACTATCTTAGATATTTTGGGAGTGATATAAAGTCTTTCCTATTTTGACAGGGTGGGGATTGGTAGAAGGATGCAAGAAGGAACTAAAAGGAATGCACATGTGCCAGTAGCCTGCAAGGTAGGGCCCTCAACACAAAACAGTAAGAGGAACAAATTCACATAAGGTTTGGGTGGCCAGCAACTGCTTCGTGTGTCTCCCTTCCCAGAGACAACTGTGTTTTAAGCAGTTGCTTAACCAGGGTGGCATACATGTCAAAGAAATGAATCTCTAAGGATTGAGACCTCAAGGATTCACTGATATTACAGTTTTGCTGCTGGCTGGTACTGTTTATCTTTTCTGTGTCTGATCACATAGATGATTTGCCTGGAGCCTCATCATGTCCTGTGAAACAAACAAGGTGCCATTTGGGGTGAACTTGGATGGAGACCTCAAGTTTGGGACAGTCTGATTGAAACTTGTAACTCAAAGTCGTGAATTGAGTTTTTCTAATGCTTCTTGGCACCCCCCCCCCCCACCTTTACACCCCAAAACCTTTTCTGAGTCTTTCTTATTCATCCTGGTAATCCTCTTCTCGTTTTTTTCTGCTGTCCGGGAACCTGTCCTTTATAAAAGAAGTTAAATCATACTAAAGTGTTAGTGGCTACCAGGAGCTTGGTTTGTTACCCTACCCATGGAGATATTTGTGGTTTCAAAGAAGATGCTGAAGTAGGGCAATGCTGATTTCAAAGGAATGAATCTCTAATGCTGCAACTTACCTAGTAGGATAGCAGGGTTGGGAGGATTTTTGAGGAAGAGGTTTTTTTTCCTGGAGGTCCCCTGAGGGAGTGAGGTGGTGAGCCTCTGGGTGATGTCCAGTTCTGTTCTAGCGGTAATAATACTCATCTCGCCACGATTACCTGTTCCCCAGTATTTGGGAGCCTCCCCTGTCTACTTCTCTTCTGCTTTGCCCCAGCGGAGGCCAGCTGGCCTGCTTTTCAGCAGTTACATGGACGGCCCCTGTACAAATCAGCTCTTATATCTGCAGAGCCACAGACGATTGTACAAGTAATCAGTTCATGCAGATTGCACATAAATCATGTCTGCTCCGGCCCTTTGGACACTAATGTTCCCTTATTAAGGCATAAGTAAGCCTTCCTGTTCTCATCCATCCTTCCAGACTTTTTTTAATTACGGAAAAGTATAACGTGGTTGTTGCCACATCACCCTCCTCCGCTCCCCCCCCACCCCGCCCACACCCTCATTGCTTTTTTGAGGTTCATTTTGTTTTTCTGGAGCTTGCCAAATTGCCGTAGGAAGCCGGGTACCTTGTGAATGAATTGAGCCAAAGGAAATTCTTATCTCGAAAAGGAAGCGGTCTCCACGTTTCTGTTTGTGGTATTCTTGGCCAGTTAATACTTTTGTGAAATATGTTCTGATGGCGGCACTGGTACCCCGGGAGAGGGGGCGGGTATTGGTCACGCTCAGTGCACCAAAGGAAAATATCTTCCACTGGAGTCTGGGGAGGGGTAGAAAGTCATTTCGTGAATATCATTCTGCCTAAATAAACAGAGAACATTCATTGTTTTTAATTCCCTGGGAAGACCAGAAGCTCAGCCCGAATATGCACATTTTTTAAACATTTCTCCATTTTCTTTTCAAAGTAGCCATAGATCTTCGCTCTAATGAACATAGATTTCTGCTTCCAATTTCTCCGGCTCTGCTAGTAGTGTTCAGCCGTTTTCATTTGGTCTAAAATGACTCTCTGAGAGCGGGGAAGCAGGCTATTATTCCTGTGGTTTGGTCTAAAAAAGCATAAAAGGGGGACGTTCAGACGAGGCCCACAAAAATACCACCATCTACTTTCAGAGATGTTTTATGAATATAAATTCCTGTCTAAATAATTACTGTTGAGGGTAGAAAGGACTTTGGAGTTTGGAAATTGTAACAATAACTTATTATTCTCTCTTAGCAACCACCACGAAGGTGACACACCTCCTGTTTTTTTTCAGATGGGCTGACATCCTAATGCACTGGATTGCTTGTTAGATCCCATTTTTTAATCATGTTTACAGATTATAGCGGAACTGAGGTGCTCTGAGGTATTATTTTCCTCTGACTAGGGAGGGAAAGAAACATATAGGGCAGGTCTGGTTTTGGTGTCATTTCAAAATCACAGGATGGCTGATGATGGTATCTTACCAGCAACAGAAGCCGGCCTGCTACCGAGCAGAGTTCCTCTGGTGTTCGGGTCATATATTCACGTATACTCTAGATTTCATGACGCCTGAGGCCCTTTATGAATTCTTCAAGGGAAGTATGGGGTCTCTTATCCTGTGTTGTTTAAAAACAAAGTCTCAGAAGAAAAAAAATCACACCCTGCTCCTTTCTTTCCCTTTTCCAACAGCTGCTGAGATGGGTTGTGGATTGAACAAGTTAGAGAAACGAGATGACAAACGGCCCGGAAATATCTATTCGACTTTGAAGAGGCCTCAGGTGGAGACCAAGATCGATGTGGCCTATGAGTACCGCTTCCTGGAGTTCACCACCCTGAGCACTGGTGAGTACAGGCAGCCTGGCGTCCTGACGAGTGGGGAGCTCAGACCCATCCTGGCCCCACAGCCCTACCCTGGGCACCGTCTTTAGTTGAGGCTGCCCCATCCATGCTGGTGGGGCCTGACAAGGACATTCTGGGGAGGAGCATGGGGTGGGGGCAACTGAAAAGTATGGGGGCTGCTTAGAGAAATCTAGAATTTTTTTGGTGAGGAAGATTAGCCCTGAGCTAACACCTTGCCTGTCTTCCTCTACTTTGTATGTGGGATGCCTCCACAGCATGGCTGATGAGTGGAGTAGGTCCACGCCCAGCATCCGAACCCACGAACCCAGGCCACCAAAGTGGAGCACGTGGAGTTTTAACCACTCAGCCATGGGGTCGGCTCCAGAAATCCAGATTTCTATGTGGAACCTTTCACATTTTAAAAGATAGCAACCAATTAAAATAATAACAAATTAAAACCATTTGCGAGCCAAATAGTACACATGGGTAGGCTGAATTTGGCCCATGGGCCAATCGGTTTGCAGATTCTGTTTCATAGCAAGCCACATGGGAAAGGAAAGTTTGGTGTGTCTCCTCATATTGATCTGCCTGTCCACCCAAATTCACCTGCCCCTTGTCCGCCATCTTTCAAGAGTGCTTGTCCATCTGGGCTTGACTTTTTCTCACCTGTGGGGGTTCGGGTCACCTCCCACTACCAGTGTCCCAATGGCTTTGGGGTGACTGACGGTCAGTGTTTTCATCCCAGAGCATTTGCTGAGCACTGACTGTGTGCAAGCGTGTTGGGTCCTTGCTGTGGGGAAATTATGTGGCTTGTTCTGGTTTCCTTGAGCTTCTCACCTATTGGGAGAGAAGACTCAATGTGTGGAAAAAACCCTCAACAGGCTGTAATTGTAAGTTGGAAAACATGTGAAATACGTTTTCAGAAGAAGAAAACTTTCTTCCTTTTGCAGAAGTTTCCTTGGAAGTTTCGAGCAATAACCAGATGCTCCATAACTAAGACATCTTAAGACGTGTTCTCTCTGGACTTCTGGTATATTTTAAGCTTCTGTTAACAGAAAAGAGAATTAGTGGGAAAAGCCCTCCTATGCGTGGGTTTGAGTGCGGGCTCTGCTGTGGGGTCGCCGGGCCCGCAGCAGCCTCATCCATCAAACGCGCACACGAATGTCCACCTCTTAGGGCAGCTGTGAAGATTAGAAGAGGGGAGATGCGTGAAGTTCTTAGCACAGTGGCTGGCACGTAGTAGGGCTGCTGGTATTACTGCCACTCCTACTCAACTCTTCCTGCTGTGACCACCTCCCTGCGGAGGCTCCAGCTGCTGCTTGAGCCCTGAGAGACATGGGAAGCTGGGGTCTCCTCCCAGTGCCCAAGACGGAACCCAGTGTCTTTCTCATCCGATTGCTTCCTGCTGGCCCCCTTGTTGAATCGTGTCACCACCATACTCTTAAATAGCCAGACTTGACCCTGCGTCATCCGTGACCATGGCTTCTCGTCACCTGTGGTTTCCGTTCCATCACCCAAGCCTGTTAAAACTACTTCTGAAAATGCTTATCATATGGCTAATGTAACGTGAACAAATCTGAACAGAAAATTATTTGGAGCATTTGGTCCTCCATTGCTTGTTGAGTGAATATGTGAGAGACTATGGTGTTCTAGCCGTTGTAGAATGATCAAGGAAAAAACCAAAGCATGTGTAGGAAACGGGATGGGAAGGAAATATCCAGAGATGTTCTATATTGATTGTCAGGGTGCTGAGATTGTGGGGGAATTCTTTTTCTCTGTTTTTCATTTTTTGCACTGTGGTTTTATTTCCTCTGTTATTAAGGAGAGTAATTTTTGCTCACAAAACCCTCCTGCGTTTTCCCACCGCTGCATCACTCATCTGAATTATTTCCCTAACCTCCTTATTAGCTGCTCCACTGCCTTGTGCTTCGGTTGTAGAACCCGCTTTGTTTTCTGCATTGTGCCTTCCTTGATTGAATTACCTTTTGTTTTCTGACTATAAAATGAACATATGCCCATTATAAAATGTTAGGAAAACACTGGAAAAATCCCAGCTCGTCTCCCTTCTTCCTCCCTTGTCCCTCTACACATCACCTCGCTCCTCTACTGAAAGCCCCGCCGTGGCTCCCCCCGACCCCAGGCGGCACCAGCTTCCCCCTGCCCTCATTCTCTTGCCATTTGTCCTGCGTGTTCTGCCACTTTGGCATTGCTGTTTCTCAGACTCCTCAGGCCTCCTCAGGGCCTTTGCACTACCTGTTCCCGCTGCCTGGAAGTCCTCCCAGATAGACTGTTGGCTCAAACCCCCTTCTCTCTGAAACCTTCCCTGACCAACTGTTTAAAATTTCTACCGACCTCCCGACACCCCTCCCCTTCCCTCCTTGGTTTTCTCCATAGCACTTCCTACCATCTAACGTGCTACTTATGTTGCTTATTGTTGCTTGTTTCCTTGCTTGTTGTCTGCCTGCCTTCTTGAGAAGCTAGAAGCCCTTCCGGTGAGTGCAGGCGTGTGCCAGTCTTACCCTCTGCTGTACCCTCGGAGCTTAGAGCAGTGCCTGAACTGTTCATAGGCAGTCACTGTTTACCCAATGAATCCTCAATGCATATTTTTGTACCCTGCTTTTTTGCAACTTAATATTCTATAGTGAGGCATGCACCCTGTCATTCCATATGTTCTGAAAATGTGATTTAGTGGCCATATATCACTTAATCACTCAGCGTACCATAATTTATTTAGCAGTCCCCTTTTATTGGACATTTCAGTTATTTTGGGCTTTGGGCTATTATAAATAATGTTGTGATAAGCAATGCTGTACATAAATCTTTGTGCACATTTCTGACGATTTCCTCAGGAATGACTGAGTTGAAAGATACAAATGTCAGGGCTCTTGATGAATTGCCACATTGCCCTCTAGATAGGACTTGTTTATGTAAAACACAGATCTGGTCATACCGACCCCTTGGCTGGTTCCCCTGGATGAAGCAGTGGGTGTTCCAGCTGGCGCGGGGCCTTGCTCGGTGTGGCCTGGCCTCAGCCGACCCTCCTCCCTCCCCGCTGGAGGACGGCGTGCGTGGCCCTTGGCTTTGCCTGCTCCCCCCAGGACCCTCCCTTCCCAGCTTCCCTCTTCCCTCTGCACAGGGCCTGTCAGCCCCTCACTGCTTGCCAGAATCCCACCCACCTGACATTGACCCCTCTTGACATCCGTCCCGTCCGAATCACTCTTTTCTGCGTGCCTATAGTTTGTCAGTAGCATCATTATGACACTTTTATGACATCATACATTACACTTATTTGTATTTCCTTGAGGGCAAAGACCAAGCCTTGCTCATCTTTCTGCTCGTCTTTCTTGTTCACACTTTCTAGCCGAGAACAGCGTGTCCTGAAGAGTCAGGTTCCAGTAAACCTTCAAAGTCAGTGTTACACGGGCGGGCTTGTTGCCCTGCGGCCTGTCCACCTCTTTTCAGAAGCTCTAATGAGATGGTTCGTTATTGCCCCAGAACGGAGCTAACGTTGGTGGAGAGCCTGCCATGTACCAAGTCCTGTGATGGGGCGTTATGTTCCTGATCTCATTTTTTCCCCGATTTTTTCAGCTTTGCCGAAGTATAGTTTAAGTACACTGCACTGCATGTATTTTAAAGTGCTCAAACCCGTGAAACCATCACCTCATCAAGGTGCAGAACATTTCCATCCCCAACTTTCCTCATCTTCCTTTGTAATCCCCCCTTATTTCCAACCTTCCATCCCTGGACAATCAGTGACCTGCTTTCTGTCCTTGATTTTAATTTCTAGAATTTTCTGTAAATGGAATCATAAGGTATGTATTCTTTTTGGTCTGACGTTTTCCACTCCGCTTGCTTATTTTGAGGGTCCTTTATGTTATTTGGTGTGCCAGTGGTTTATTCCCATTTTATTGCTGGGTAGTATTCTATTGTTCTGATGTACTACAGTCTGGTTTTCCATTCACCTGTTGATGGACATCTGGGCCATTTCCAGGTTTTGGCTATTACAAATTAGTTTGCTATGAACCTTCATCTTTGTGTGGCTTCTTATGTCATTTTATCCTCCCAGTAACCCAGTGAGGTACTCCGGTACACTCGTTCCTTCTTGCAGAAGAGGAAACCTCAGAGAGGTTAAGTAACTTTTCTAAAGATGCAGTGCTAGGAAGTGACAAGGGCAAAATTCAAACACAGGTCTCTTGGGCATCATGCCTTTGTGCCTTGTAAACTCCAAGATACTAGACAAATAGGCATTAACACGGATTAGAACATTCTTATTAGAAAACTTGTGTTATCCTATAGAGGGGCATAAGAATATTCCTCTTCCATAAGGTTTTGGCCATAGAAGATTTTTGAGTAACACTCAGTATGATTATTTCTCGTAGAGGGGATGCTCATCTGACTCTTTAGGAAATTGCAAAGTGAGGAGAGGGGGTCGGCCCCTTCCACCTGGTGGCTTAGGCAGGAAGGGGACCATGTGCACTTTGTAAAAATTCAAGAGCAGGGTTAACACTGTTTCGTTTGTCCCTTGCTTAAAGCTTGGTGCCCTTGTGGAGGATATTGGAACACACAGCCCTGCTTTTGTAGGTTGGCAGAGGCGAGGACCAGCAGGAGTCTCACGGTGAAGCACATAAGCTGCCAGAAATCTCGATTCTGGGTGATCTGATTGGTCTTAAATTTTCAATTAACTCTGGTCACCAGGGGAGGAAGCTACCCTCTATTGGGTTTCATCACAGACGGAGGCCCATAAAGCATCACAATTTCTGCAAAACGGTGCCTCATTATCCCTTTTGTGCATGCGTTTTGCCAGCTTCTCCGTGCCAGGCCACTCTAACACCACTTGAAAGCTACCTGTGTCAGCTCCGTGAGAATTGACTGTGTTTTATACGTGTTTGGCGCTGGGGGCAGTTGGCACAGTGAGAGATCTGTATAAGGAGGCCAGTGCCCAGGGCCTGATCCCTGCTTGAGCTGTCTAGTTGTGCGCTGTCCACTACAGGAGCCAGCAGCCA